TCCTATATTATGTATTAATAGAAATGGATCAAATTTTCAAGTTCCCCAGCTCGTTATACTTACGAAATAAACAGAGACTTTTGGCTGATGTATGCCATAATCCATAACACTCAAAGGATATTTACTACAAAATACTTACTTCTACTGTCTCTCTACAGAAATGATTAACTACTGTCTGTCTCTGTTTCAGTCTCTGTCTCTGTTGGAAATAAATTCGCATAAATATGCCTCTGCCAAGTTGGCCAACTTGGTTTGGGCCTGCTGAGCACTTTTCTGTGTAATCCTGCGAGCTTTGTTGGCTTCTGCAACAAATTTTGCTTGTTTTGTTTTTGACAAGCGTTCGCTCAGCATCAGTCTACGCCAACTGTCGCCGCACAGTGGGCAGCAAATACACTCTCCCTCTCTCTCTCTCTCTCTCTCTCTCTCTCTAACACACTCTTCCTCTCTCCCTCACTCTCTCTCATGGGGCACTCAGTATATGACTGTCAAATGCGTTTGGCGTCCGGCAAGAAAGTTTATACAATGTGACGGCGAAAAAAAAAAACAGAAAACAGAAAAAAAAACTTTTGCGTGCGCGTAAATCTTTTGCATAATTCAGTGCCTGCTGCTGCTTCTTTTTCTTCTTCCTCCTGCTGCTGCTGCAGCTTCGTTTTCTTGTTGCTGGCCAGTTTAGAGTACACACGCTTTAAGGCGGTTTCAAGTGCCGCACTTACGTAGCAAGATGCCACCACCCCTCATCTGAACTCTGTTGTACTTCAGCCAGCAGCTGCTTGTCACACCAAATAGCCTGTCCAACTCTCAAGCACCCACCCAACCACCCAACCACCCGCCAAGCCATTCACCCACTTGGACAGCCTACTTGGGCTCCCATCCATTGAGTCGTACACAAGTTTTAGCCCCCTGTCTGGCAGCTCCATACCTCTGGAAAGAAAATAAAAATAAAAAAACACATGCAAATCCTGGGCTCTGTTGTCCTCCTCTTCATTGGCAGCCACCCTTGTCCTTGTCCTTGTCCTTGCTGTTGTTGTCTCCGCCTCCTCATGCCTGTCGCGTGCGTTTTATAGTTAAACATGCCACCCATTTAATAATCATCCCTCCACACGCATTTATTCCCCCCCTACCTCAGCTCAACCCCAACCACATGTAAATGAATTTTTTTTGTTTCGTCTTCTATTGCTGCTTCTTGCAACTTCTTTCTCAGCTTCCTTCCGGGACGATTCTTGGCCATTGTTGCTGTTGTTGTTGTGCGTGTGTAGACTACTGTTTAGTTTAGGTCTCTCGCCTCAGCTCCCCCTCACCTTTCAGCTGCTACTTCTTGCGTCTCTCGGGGCATCATTTGTATTAACGGAGGTGAAGGATTTTTCAATTCCTTTTCGTTTTTTTTATATTTTTATTTATTGTATACCTCTATTTCTGCATTTTCAATTTTCAACTGTTTTTTATCATTGAAATTGGTTGTTTGCCCCACTGTACATTTGATGGCTATTCATCTTCATCTGTGCCACGCACTTTTTTCTTTATCCATTTACAGTGCTACTCTATTTTAATGTTAATTTTTTATTAGATGTAAATATTGTGGGCTAAAAGTCAGTTGGGGTAAATGAGTTTTACTTTGGTGTGCTGTTGGGGACTTTATGTAGAAATATTTGCTGTAGCTTCCATTGAAAGTGTGAGCATTGACTTTGTCTAAAGAAAAGACTTGAAACTAAATAAAAAATTTTGGAAATAACATTTTAAAATCAAGCCTGTCAGCTACAAGAAAAAAAAATATATATTTTAATTAATTTATTAAGAATTATTCGATGAAATAGGGGATCAAGGGACCATCCCTGCCTAAGGCCGTGAGGCTGTAGCAAGAAGTCTTTGAAGATATTTAGATGGCTTTTACAATATTGGTATATACATAAGTGAACATAAATATACTACATATTCCGCCTATAACATATTCCTCTAATGGATACTGAGCTCTTCGCATCATCTATCTATCTAATATCAAATTAAATCACTTATTTACACAAAATTACCTATATTTAAATGTATATATAAAAGATTTATTGGGGTAATGATTTTGTAATCGTAGGTTTTGGGATCGTGTAGCATATGATTTTTCAGTTGAAAATTCCTTTCTTAGTTGTCAATATACATGATAGACAGTATAAAGAACTGAGCCGTCAACATTAGATCACATGCAGCAAATGCAGCAGAGCCATACCATCATTATCAATGAATCTCCCTTGCAATTTAACGAATTTGCCAAAAACACTTACGAAAAGCCAAAACAAAACCAAAAAAAAACCTAAGCCAGACAATGGACAAACATGGTCAAAACTACGCGGCTGTAGCTGATGTCTAAGTCCAAGACCAAGTCTAAGCCTGTAATTTCAGTACGAAATAATTTCACATCCCAAAAGAAAAACTCTCAAGTGGAAAAGTTGCGCGTGCGCCGTTGTTGCCCCAATGCAATGATGATGATGCTGATGGTATCGATGTTGCAGGGGAATCGATGCCTGGCACGGAATGAGAGACTCTTGCCTTAAATATAATAATATTTGTATGCGTTTCAAGAGGGAGGTGTAAAGAGGATAGAGAGGGGTGAGTTTTACAGATGGTTGGCAGCAGTTGCAGAAAGCCTTGTTAGCTGTGCGTTTTGGCTTGAACTGTGTGTTGGCCTAAACAGGCATTGAGTTGTGAATAGGTGAGCTTCAGCTGGAGAGGAAGAGGGCAAGGGTGTGCTGTTGAGGGAGGGGTAGGAGGGAAGGGGAGCTGTGCCGTAGGTCATATGGCTTCTTAAATGCAATTGAACGGTGTTCGTGCGGCATTTTTGGGGAACACTTTGCAAGTGATTCTTGTTACTGTTGTTGTTGTTGTTGTTGTTGCCTCACTCACGTTGTCTGTTGGCCATGCTTCCTGAATATGTTGACTGAGCTGAGACAAGAGCAGAGTTGCCAGGGTAGTGAAAGTAATGGAGAAAATAAATGCAACTAAAGCAAAATTTGAAATGTTTTTTAAGAGTTGTCTCTATTTATAATGTGGAATAATCCCAATACTTCCTGAATATGTTGACTTAGCTGAGAGAAAAACAGAATTGCCAGGGATTGAAAAGAAGAGTAGAGTATATGAGCAAGATAAGAGGAAAGTTGAAATGTATTTTTAGAGATGTCTCTACTTATATAGTATGACATATAACATATGGTTATCAGTTTCAAGCAGAGACATTTGGGAGTATCTAAGAGTCAATTAAAGTTCAACTTGCCTGCCTTCTTCTTTCTTTCTTTTTAGAGATGTCTCCACTTATTGTATGACATATAACAGTTATGACTTTCTAACTGTAAGTATTCAAGACTCTTCAACATGTCTACCTTTTATTTATATGCAAATAATTCAACTATATCTATCTATCTACATATTCCCTGCTTTCAAGTTAAAGTCGAGAACTTTTGTGTTTCTCAAGTTACTCACTGATTTCATCTACAGCAATCTGACAACCCTATTGCCCACCAATTCACTGCCCATTTGAAGATTGTTAATAAGACAGCGGTTCAAAAGAATTCTCAACAAATATCCACTAAATGGCTGAGCAGATGATCGCCCAAAGCTCGAGCGCTGTCAATTTCATTGTTTTCCGGTGTCTAAATTGTAATTCCCGAACCCCTTCCATCTCCCCTCCCCCATCCACTAAGAGTGCCCCCAAAGTGGCTTTCACTTTGGCCAAATCTGAGCAGGTATTTGACTGTGTGAGAAGTGAACGTTGTGCCTCCCCCGCACCCTGCCTCCCTGCCTCCTTGCCACCCAACTGCATTTCTGCCACATACGAGTCGCGTTTGGTTCTGATCCTGTGTGTGTATGTGTGTGTATTAGTGTGTGTGTGTGTGTTCCTTTTGCGATTTGGTCGCGATTTGACGGCGAATTTGTTACACCCACAATTGTGCTGTGGCAGTCAAAACTCTGGGTTTTTTTGGGCTGTTAGTTTCTGTTTCTGTTGCTTGCCACTTGCGGCACTTTTGCACTTGAAATGAGATCGCCAGCGGATTGTGAGTGTCTGACTGCCTGTCTGACCCGTCCCCAACCCCAAACTCCCCCTGCAGCCCCTCTGGCTGCTTGCGCCGTGTCTTGAAAATGATTTATTTGAGCACGCGCGTTTGCAGCTCGCCAGTTCCAAGCGGGGAGGATGAGAAGGAGGGCACCATCGCGTCTATAGAGGGAGCTGAGAGCTGGGAGCTGCTGCTGCTGCTGCTGCTGCATTTCTTATCGCCAGGCAATTAATCCGTGTGATTGGTCATTTGACGCCCACGCTCTGTGCAACAGGCCAAGCCACAAGCCATAGAGAACCCTCAGTATGTATATACATATATATTGTTTATGATCTTGTGAAATTTTTTCGCAAACAAAAGTCAGACAAATTGCCAAGCGACTTGTTTGAGTATTTATTGTATGCGAATTGAAGTTGAATTCAATTTGAGTTTTAACTCATTTTTAATTGAATTGAGTTTTAAAAAATAATAAAGAGAAGAGACAGAATTATCCTTGTTCTGCTTTTGAATTTTTTACTTTAACTTTTAACGCTATGCACATAATTTGCCAAATAATATTTAAAGAAATCATATTCGAATTAGACCAATGCATTCTTAATGGTTCTTTACATGTTGCTTAAGAATTTCGATAATTTTACACGGTAAACAGACAAATTGCCAAGCTAGAACACAACACTTAAAAATCATAAATTTTGCTAAATAGAATTAAGGAATTCAAAAGTATTTATATAGTAATGAGGTTCTTGGAAATCGATAATATCGATAGTTACAAATCGATAAGACCACATATCTCTCACAATCTGAAGGCTGTCACCAAATTCGGTCAGTAAATTGTTGGCAATTTCATTAAAAGAGCTAGAGTTAAGAGAAAATATAATTTAAATACAACAATCACAATTTACGTTAATTTTATTAATCAATTAGTTAATCGAGATGGTCAATTAAATAAAATGAAAACAAAGGCGCTGACAATATTTTAGACATTTATCGTTTACTTCTTCTTCAAGAAGGGGCTGACGATGGCTGGAGCCGCATAGGTGGAGACGGGAGCAGCATAAGTGGCCACAGCTGGAGCTGAGTAAGTCGAGTAGACAGCTGGAGCAGCAGCAGCCGAGTAGGTGGCAACAGGAGCAGCATAAGTTCTGAAGGGAGCAGTCCTCGTATAAGCAGCATAAGGCACAGCAGCAGAGTAGGCGGATGCAAAAGGAGCAAAGCCAGTGGAGTAGGTCCTAAATGGAGCAGCAGCAGCATAGGTGGCAACTGGAGCGGCGGAATATGTGGCAGCAACAGGTGAGCTGGCCAAGAAACCAGCCTGAGCCACAGCCACGCAGAGAGCCAAGCAGATGAGGAACTGCAGCAAAAGAAAAATAACAATTAAAAACAAGAACAAATAAATTCTGGAGCAAATCGCAAATATTCAACTTACTTGCATGTTGATTGTTTGATTTTTATTATTTTTGTTTGGTTTGTTTTGGGTTTGTTTTGGGCTAGTTGTTGACTTGTCAGCGACTGTTGCTTTGGGCCAATTAACGCGACGCTTTTATATCCCAAGCTAACAAATGTGGCGTAGGTGAGCTGTAAACGAGTTTGCGGCTTAGGGAATGCCACAAACTAGAACACAATACGAATACTCGCAAATTGGGTTTATTGCCAGCATTCCGAATAAATGCGGATGCTGTCAAACAGCACTTGACGCGATCTACCACTCGTGATAATTATCAGATAATTGCCAAGGCAAAGGCCAAGGCGAAGGCGTAGCAATTGGATTACCTACTATTTTTAATTTTATTTCGCCAATTTTGCAAAGCGGCAGATTTGATTTTTATTTATATACATTACTATTTATATATTTAGAATTAATTATGTTGTCTATAGATTGCCGATTGCCTTAAGAGCATTATCCGGATTGCTTGAGTTATTAGAGACCTAGTCGTAAGGGGAGTTATGTTGTGGTATTCTAGAGTTAAAACCATGGTTAATAAGTTAGAATGCCTTAATAGAGACAGCTCCACTTGGATGTAACCAAAATAAGACAGCTTTTAAACACTTAATAGGTCGTTCAATATGAAAATAATAGCTTGTAATAGTAGATAGCAGTTTGTTCAATTTGAAAATAACTTTTTGGATAAAAAAGTCCAGATAGACTTTTCTGTGGATGCTAATGGAGAATATATATAGCTTATGGAGTCGGAGATGATTCCTTCTGCCTGTTAAGAACTTTTGCTCAACTTCATGTTTCCTAGTTTGCCCATTTTTAATGGGTTCGTGGTATTAAAAAAGAGTTACTTTTAAGTATCTTGTTAGTTTTAACTTGATTAATAAGATCCATTCTAGCTCTTACACCATTCTAAACTCTCTTTACTGACTCTCTTCCCCAATATTTCTCCCTCAGCCAACCCCCTTATTACTCCTCTCTCTCCTCTCTGCAGAGTTCTTTGCCTGAGCTAGTTGACATGTTGACATTTCACGCATTTAACAGCTTAGCAAATCGCATGGCACAGAAACCACACTAGCAAGTTGCAAAGCAAACACACCAACCACCAAGCAGTGGAAGGCAGACAGCAGCGGTTGGACAGCACAAAAGAAAAACTGTTTTTCCAGTGGGTTTTCCGCCACATTGCGAAAAGTGTGCGAATCCCACGCACACGTTTAGCAAAAAAAAATATATATAAAAGGGGACTTTTCTGGGTGTAAGTCGGTCTGTGTGTGTTAGGTGTTAGGTGTGTGTGCAGCCAACCAAATGCTGTGCACACACACACAGCATGTCAGCACACCCCCTCCTGTCCCTTGTCTATCACTGTCTCTGTCTCTTCTCTATGTCGCCCGCATTTCGCATTTTGCCTTTTGCCAAAATGTTTTTATTGGAATTTTATTTTATTTCATTGGATTTTGATGGTTTCATTGTGTGTATCCCAGTTGCCCGTAATGGAGTCACTGCGGCCACTTTGTCAACCTTCCCCCTCATGCCCCTTAGCACTCGACTGACTGCCAAACGATGCAAGCAAAATGCGTATGCAAATTTTCTTTAGCTGCTGCTCGAAAGGAAAAACCACCAAGAAACTCTGCGTTCTTTGGTAGATTTTGGCAAATCTTCGAGGGGTGCTATAATGCTGCAGGGAAGAGGGCAGGGGAGGGCGGGAGGGTGGGGTTGTGTTCCAGGGAATGGGGCGGTTTATTGCCACGTTTTGTTTGTTGCACATTTAACACGACGAGGCTCACTAGGAATACAATATAAATATATGTGACAAAGTCTTGACATTTACTGCTAATGAAGTCAATTGATGTCATTTATCTTGTTTTTGTTGTTGTGGGTGTTTCAGTGGTGCTTCTTGGGTGGTTGTTGGTGGTACGTGCGTGGTGCATGCAAATGAATTGTTTGCAACATGTGAAAAAATATGGTTGGCATCTTGGCTGAGATTGTTCTGATTTTAATGTAGATTAAGAAATTTGTAGGCAGTCTTGCAGTGAATAAATAGAAAGTATATTTTGTTTGCCAGCAATATATTTATTTACCTATATGTATCTGTTACGCATTTCTAGGTCTGGACAAATTCCAGAATAATTCTAGGCCCAAACCAACTTGAACTGGCTCTCGGCCAATTAACAATCTTTCAAGGTCAATTTCTGTGGCATTGCAAATAAAGAAATGTGGCGCAAAGCGTCGCCTCAACATCCATACAAAAATGCATTACGAGCAGAGAGAGGGAGAGGGAAAGAGGGGAGGGGAACCTGGCGCTGCCCCAGTCACAAGTCGCAAGTCGCAACTTTGCCGCATGCTGCTGCAACAATTTGCACGAAACGTGCAACGGCCGTCTGTAAAGCGATTTGAGCGCATAATGTTACCTGATCTAAATACGTCGACCTCAACTCAACCAAAGGGAACACAAAGGGGCACAAAAGGGGACAAGAGAGGAAGGCTTTTTTAATTCTCTGGCAACTGGCAACTGGCAACTGGCAACTGGCGACTGGCAACTGGCAACAGACCAACTGGCAACACATGCCAGACAACTGACTGGGTTCAGAGTGCGAATCTCAGCGTTGTTTGTGTGTGGCAAAAGTATCTGCATCTCTCTGTTGTTGTAGCTTGTGTTTTGTATCTTGTATCTGTATCTTGTATAACTATAACTGTGGCGCTCGCTGCGTTATTGTTCGCCTCAATTGCTAGCGATTATGCTCAGTGCTCGCTAATTTTTAATAGCTCGTGAAAACACAGGCAAACGTGACAAACGAGTGGAATTTAGTGCAAGACCAAAAAGAACTGAATATCAATGGAATGCATAAAGATGTAAGGCAAGAGCTACAAGTGTTCCAAAAGACTTTGTTTTTGAAAATCTGCTGAGCTGTGATCACCTTATGGTTTTAGAAAGTTTTGACCCGACTATATGCTAAATTTTTGGCTAGAAGTTAAGCGACTATATGCGAAAAGGATCCCTTTGGCTGGCAAATGTTGCGCAAAGTGGCTCCTTTTGCTGCATTTAACCGCAAGTGTTCAACAACTCGTGCAACACAAGGCGAGACAGCAGCTACTGTGATTGCCACACGTTCCTTTGGGGCATCCTGCGTCCATTTCCCCCTCTCCCTCCTTCCTCGCTGTGCGTTATTAGCCGCTGCTTTGCTTGGCGAGCCGTGGCAAGACTTCAAAATCAAATGCATAAAAAATATTGTAATAAAAATTGCTTGCAAAATATTTCGCAGCACTTATGTGTGGCACAGACAGACAGACAACGCAATTTTTATTGCCAACCAAAACACGCCCCTCGTTAAAAGGACCTTTGGCATTTGCTCTGCTTTTGCTTCCGTTTCTGTTTTCCTTTTTTTTTTGCTCTTTTGCTGTTGCTCTCTTTCTGTGCTTTAAGCCAAGCATTTCCGTTGTAATTTTTTTTGGTGAGAGTATTTTCATAAATGCCAATTGGCAATTGGCTTGCCCTGGCTGAGCTGTCGCCTTTCCGGCTGCTTAATTTAATGGTCATGCTGATTTCTTAGCCACAACTTCAACTACCCCACTCTCTGACCTCACTCTTGACCTGGGTCAATCTGCAGGACGAAGGGCTTTAATTGATTTGCCAGGCACAACAACAACAACAACAACAACAAAACAACTTCCAGTTTGAGTTCGAGTAGCTCCTGTTTTATTTTTTTTTCTTATTTTTTATGTTTTTCTCAACCCTTGCCCAGGAAGGGTGCTCTCATTCAACACCCTTGTTTTTTTATTTATATTTTATTTTCCCATTTTGATTGTTGAAGCAGAGAACTGACCTTTGTTCCTTTGCCTCTTTTTCCCTTTGCCCATTTTCATTTGTTTGTGCGGTCAGTCGGTCGTCAGTCAACGGGTCTGCCAAGTCAGTCGGTGGTTGACTGCGGTGGTCTGGCGATGCCGCCACCAGTCGTTGATGATTGTTGTCGCAGTCGTCTGTCTCTGTCTCTGTCTCTGTCTGTTTCTCTGTCTGTAGCTCATTCCCCCTCTCTTGCTCGCCGTCGTCACGGACATTGAGTGACCTTTAGTTGTCACCCTTTCGCCCCCTTTCTCTCCCTCTCTCTCTCTTCCTATTTCCAGTTTTACTTTAATCGCATTCGTGTTGTGGGTCAATTCCTGATTAAGTTGTAATTTGTAGCGGTAATTATTTCATAACTTCTGAATCCTGACAGAAGAGTGTTAAGGGCACGATTTTATTTTCCTTTAAGACAGGCGCAGCTGATGAATATTAACTGGATTGAGTTAAGTGAATGTCCTTGATGAGATCAGCGCTGTTTTTACAAGTTAACAAAGCTGGCTTAAATTGTATACAAGGAATAATAAACTATTAAATACATAGTTTGCTCAATATCAAAAGACGGAAATGAATTTTTAGATAACAGTCATGGCTAGACCTCCAGATTAATGGTGCAGAGAAATCAGAAAATATGATTTTAAGTTGGTATTCATACTGTTATGTCTATAAAATGTTGTGGCAGATGTTGTTTAATATTTCTTGTGTCACATCTCTCTTTCTACTTTCTGATATACACATCTGAAGCACTCTTTTTCGATTTCAATTCAAACCAATTTCTTTGATATGCCCCTTAATTCATTCACTGCAACAGCGTGTCTAATTTTTGATTATGTTGTAATTTACATATTGAATTGCATACACGAATCTGTTGTTTATGGATATGAGGGGTAGTGTACTGTGGCAGGGGGCGGGGGCGAACACGCCACATGATCATCAGTACAAGCAATATAAACAAAAAAAGAAAAAACAAATCAAAATTCAGTTCCCCAAAAGGAGAACTAAAGAACTGAAAGAGTTGAGAATCGCACGGCAGGAGTGCAATTGCTGGCAATTGTGTTGCGCAAGTTGCAAGTGGCAGGTAGGTGCAAGATGCAAGTTGAATGTTGACGCGCTTCCCACACACACACACACATACACACACACAGGCTCTGGCAAGCCACAACACAACACGATCAGTGAGTAACAATAACAACAACAAGGTGATCATGTGGCGCTACAAGAGATCTCGTCATGTATTCAAAGTATTGCCAAAAAAAAGAACTCTGTCAGTTTCCTGGTCTCCCCTTCCATCCCCCTCTTACCTCGCGCTTCCTCACACGTTGTGGCGCTCGCGAAATAAACGATTATCATCCATTATGAGCTGTTTCTCCTGGTCAGAGTCAGAGTCAGAGTCAGAGTCAAAGTCAGAGTCTGGGCTGCTGTCCATATAGTTCAGGCTCTTATTTTTATAAAAATGTTTGTTTTACTACGTGACCGATGGCTTACATGGCGATGAGAGGGGTCTAGTATGGGTTGCGGGAGGGGTTACACTCAGCGAAAATCACCCTGGAAACTAGAAAGTCTGTCTTGGTTTTGAAATAACTTCAAAATGTTAAAAAATGACAATAAAAAATCGACAATCCCAAAAACATGGTGCAATTACTTTATTTTCTTAAGAACTATTTTCTGTTATGAATAAATTAATTTATTTCAGAACGATTGTATTTTTCTGAGTGTAGGTGAGGTGAGCGCCGGGCAGCTGATGCACAGAATGCGATACACACGCGATGTTAAGTCTGAGTCTGAGTCTCAGTCTGAGTCTGAGCTGGCATTGTCTGCACTTATTATTATTGTTGTTGTTGTTGTTGTTGTTGCCAGATGATCTACATGAGCCAGCAGCAGCAGCAGCAGGCAGCAGCAAGCAGCAAGCAGCGCCTGTTGCAAGTTGCACAAGGCTGGCCCTTGTGGCAGGCGCTTGCAGAAGCAACACGTCGGGTTACAAAGTTCAATTGAGTTGACTCTCATCTTTTCCATTCTTTTTTCCAGCTCCGACTCCAACTCCAACTTCAGCTCGATCTGCAGTTCATATGCATTTGCATTGGTCACGTTCTGGAGCGTGTAATATTTTTGCTTATCTTCCAACAAATATGTACAAATATGAATTTGAGTGGAGCGTGTCGCGGCTGCACTGTTCCCTGAAAGGGTTAAAGAGAGGGGTGGCGGGTGGGCGGCGTGTGTGAGTTTTTAAATTGATATTGCGCTAGATGGAATATTGGTTCTCATTCGCCAATGCCAATGCAAATATAAACCCAAAAGGTTAATCCAATCTATTTTTAATCTTTTCGAGCCTGCTCAACATTGCCCACAAGATGTGGAAAATGAGGAAAATGCTGCGACAAATCAAGCAACAGGTAATACTTTAAACTATGTTTTCTTCTGATGTCATTTTTATAAGCTGAACCCATCGAAAGTGAAAAGTATAATGAAGTTAATAGGCAGAAGGGAGCTTCTACTACCCCATAGGGAATATATGTATATAGTTGATCAGCAGCCGAGTAGACCTAATCATGTCCATCAGTCTGTACACGTCGAACTCAGACACTATAAGAAACTTCTGGAGTGTAAGATCTTATATGCAAACAGTTCACAATGGTTAAAGAATTGGCCGTGCAATTGAGTCTAGCTCTAAGTTTCTCTTGCATATCTATCAGCTATCCTAGATATTTTACCTTTAATTTATGCAGCTATAAATATTAGCTCAAATTACACAATTCTAGTCTATAATCTTAGACTGCGTAGGCAGCAGCTCTTAATCAGTAGCCTGATTGTAGAAAATGGCACTCGCCTCGCCCCTTTGTGTGCCACTCCCCTTGTGCCCTAGAATTGTGTTGTGCAGATTGTATGACAATCAGATAATAATACCTCAGAGATGCACGCACAATTCCCTTTATAACCTGGCATATATAGCATGAGGCATGAGGCATGAGCCCAATTGCGTTGACAGGCGCCGCATGCTGGCCCCCCTCCCCCCTTGTGCTTGAGTCGTGCAAAATTTATGCTGAGAAAATTTATGACACGCAACTTGTACACCCGCTAAACACAACAACAAACAAACAAACAAAACTGAACCCCATGCAACACAGGCAGCCAATAAACTAAACGTTACACCCCCCAAACCCTCACCCCCTCAATCTGTCCACTCCCCCTCACAGCCCGTCCGCCATTGTCGTGTGCCAAAAGCAAAGCTGAGAAAAGAAAAGAAAAGAAGAAGCTTTGCGAAAAAATCGGCTTTACCCTAATTTAGTTTGGCTTTCACTTTCATAATTTTTTGGCAACGACTTTCACCCCAGAAGTGAGCAGTAGCCACCCCTAGCAAGAGATAGAGACAGAGAGGAGGAGAGGAAGAGGCAAAGAGAGGGAGGTAGAGGAGTGTTCCATTTCACGTCATCGCTTTGATTGCATTTCAATTGCGAAATTGGCAAAAACATCAATTTCATGCCGCCGCAGAACAATCATCAAGTGCCGGCCCATTACGTAATCAGTGGCAGGGGCAGGGGCAGGGTCAGAGGCAGGGGCAGGAGGTGGGGTTGGGGTGTTTTGTGGCATAACAAGTATTAGGCAAACATGTTGCCCATATCCTGAACAGACTCAACGAACCCCATAAAGGATACTTAACTCGACTTTACACAATCTGATTTTCGGCTTGCGAATTTTTCCACGTTCAGCCGAATTTTCCAGCCAGGCAAGTTTGCCAATTTTCCAACTGCCAATTGAGTTGAGGGTGGGTTGTGTGTGTTGTGTTGTGTTGTGGTTGTAGCTGTTGATTTAGTGATGGGATTTGTGGGTTGCAGCCTTAAAAGAACAACAACAACAACAATAAAATCAACCTCTGCACACAATTGTTGTTGCAAGGAAACCAGGAAATATTGATAAACGTTCGAAGAAAAAAATTTGCATTAGAATAGCCAACAAGTGATTGAAAGGTGAAAGGAGGCGTGTTGCTGGGGAGGGGGGGTACAGAGGGGGAGGGGTGTTGTTAGTGAAAGGGCTGCCATTTGCTCATTTAGCGAACATTTTGGGCCCAATTAGTCCAGCAAGTGAAAAGTGGCAACAGAAAGGTGATTGTTACTAGCCAACTTCTCATCATTGTATCGATAGGCTTAAGCAGGAGTAGCTTTTTATTGAGCCAGCTTGTTAACTTAAGTTAGTTTATGATTTTTATTAGCCGCCATCGGATTATTTTAGTTTAATACTACTTACCCTTTGCTATCGGTTAGACATTGATTGTTTTTAATTTGCTATTAAATTTTATATTTCGGAGATTGCAAATGGGAAAGTTTGTTATTTAGTAGAGTAAATTCAGGGTACAGCTTAAATTATAACTAGCTTTCCACAGCTATAAGTTCTCTCCTATGCCACATTAGATTTCAGTACTATTTTCATAATAATTTGACAGACCTAATTTGAATATATTTACAATTTTGGCATTGGCTGTTGGGGACAAATCAGAGAGAGGGTTTTTGGCTCTTCAGAGGCCAAGAAATACAAACAAAAATTTATTTGGAAAATAATAATAAAAATACATGCACAATTGGCAGCATCTAACCACACACACCCACACACACACAGCAATCCTCTAGCCCCCAAACCGCCAACACTAATGCGCATCCACAAAAAAGCTGCCTGGGAGCCCAACAGCAGTTCGCTGCCATTAAATATTCAATTCAATTCCCAGGCGCGAGTAAAAATTCTTTCTTTGCTTCCCTCTACTGAGTACCCATTGCCCCCATTTGTCCCCATTTCCCCCCAATCCCCACTCTTTGTAGCATATCCTATCGTATCGTATTCTATCTGTCGCCTCTCTATTCGATTTGTATCCGAATGACATTTTTTATATCGCATCTTTTGCATTTTATTTGTTACATTTGTTGTTGCTGCTGCTGCTGCTTTTGCTGCTGAATCCTTCGTATATAGAACTTAGTCCTGGCTCGTCCTTTTCTGTTATTTTGCCCTAAACATAGACTTGGGTTGGCAACTCCATTTGACAATCCATGTGGCCATGTGTTCGAAGGATGTACATTTGGGCGTTAAGACCCCACCACCTCCTGCCCCCATCACCCCCAGCCCCCTGTGCTTGTCGTGGCCAATGGGAATGCTGCAAGCTGCCATCGTGAGGATTAAGCCCACAATTTCTTCTGGTTTTTTTCCTGCTTTTTGTTTCTTTGTCACTCATGCGATATATCTTGAGTGTGTATATAGAAAGGAGAGTGGGAGTGGGGATTGGGTATGGGTGTGGTAGATGGGCGTTAGATATCCTTCGCTGACATCGAACAAAAGTTTTTCAATTGATTTTATGCTATTTTTCGTCTTCTCTTTATTTCCAACTGGGCACGTATTTATTTCCAACTGCTGCTGCTGCTTCAGCTTCTTCCTCTTTCTCTTTCTCTACATCCACTTTCCCATCTTCATCTTTCTCCTTTTTGGCTGGTAGTTTGAGAAATTGGTTGAAATCAATTGGATTTGCAAGCGGCTAAAGTTTGAGTGACAGCAGCGGCCGCTAGATGGCGCCAACGCCAACAATTCGCTTTTGCATACAATTCAGCGATTACCATTAACATTTTCAATATACTCGTTCAGAGGGGCGTGGCACCACAGGCGCAATGGACTTTTCTCCAAGCTGATTTAGAGATTTGCATAATTTGATATGGCTAAAAGGCGTTGAGTGCCTGCACACACAGAAAACTATTACTAAGATATGCAACATTTCTAATTGGATGGTGAAATCGGACCGGGTTTCAACTCAGTTGTCCAAGCTATAAACAAATTAGAAATAAATAAACAAATATATAAATAAATGAATTAATACATAAAAGGATTAACGTTTGAATTATATTTAGGAGTCCATATGCTTATTTTTGCTTGCATTGTCTCATTTATTTAATTATTTCTTTAAAATGAACTTATTTATGAGATTTCTTGGGATATTCTATAGCTATAATATATATAGACCAAGCATTATTTATTTCCAATAATTTCCATTCATTTGTGATTGCCACCTAAGTGGAAATCTGCCACACGTGCCTCAACAAATCAAAATTTTAAAATTCGTTTGCCCGGTGAAGCTGTTTGAGTGCCAGGACCAGCCCTTCCCTGCCGCTCCTCACTCCCCTTGGCACACCACTTCTTGCAATTTTCACGTTTCAAAATAATAACAACAAGGGGCAGGGGCAGGGGCAGGATTGAGAGAAGTAACGTAAGATTGCCGCAGCGCCTCAAAATATGCAAATCAAATCGCTTGCACTCTCACCATCTCTCTCTCTCTCTCACACACACACTTACTTGCCACGTGACTTGTAAAATATTTATGGATTTGATGTCAAACAAAATGTCGAAAAGAGTTTTTTGCCCCATCAAAATTTTGGATATGTGCAAATGTAAATGGCAAAA